GTATTTATATTCGCAAATTTCCAGCCCCCGGCAGCGTTGGATGTGGAATATGAATTAAAAGTCTTTCTCTCTCAAATTTCTCATTATCAAAAGCACTTGGCACTGGATGGATAAAGCAGGCTTTCCCTCTGTGCTAAAGTATATGTGTGCAAGTGGCCCACATCGGTTAGGAAGCAAAATTTGAATATGCTACATTCAAACGTGCAGAAAAATATACATTTAAATACAAACACGTACTTGCAAAATTTAGCGCCTGCCTCTTTCCTGCCAAACCTCCGTCCCAAGAATCTCACGATAAGAAATTACCATTTCATACAACTGGTAAGCACAAAATATCACTGGCTAAACTACCATCGCCAAAAAATTAACTTCTGAATTTTTGATGCTGTCAAACATAAAGAAGAAACATCTACTTATGCTTGATAAATTGCATTTACTGGATTAAACGAAGCAAAATGTGATATGATTTGTATAGGCAAATTATATCACATTTTAAAAATCTTCGTTGAAAATATGAACAAAGAAATTTGGCTCTTTTAACAAGGTTATTCTTTGCTCTATTAGGTAAACAGTTTCTTTTCTCTTTGCTGCAAATCAAGTCTTCGTTTTGCTGGGCGATTTCCCATACCTGATGTTTAATTGTACATTTCTGAAGTGTAACTTGCCCTCTTACGGAATCAAAAAATAGGAGTCCTGTTTAACTCCTTTAGTTATTTTATTTCTCTTCAGTAATTGATTTCAGCAATTGACTCCAATTTAGATATTGCAGTAGATCTCAGTATATTCTCATTCCTTCTAACAACTCCTCCATTCTATTCATTTCTATTAACATAATATCCTTTATTCTGTCTGAGAGTTAGAGCTGGCAGCTATAATTAGAGCCACATTCTACTTTTAGAAAATGATGTAAGTTTTTGAAGTTATTGAGTTCATTGTACCAATAATAGTGCCATTTTTTGCTACGCTCCTCTATTGACAGCCCTCTTTGATGCTGCAATCGCCACTCTTGGATTCGATGCTGTACAGGTCAGGAATATTGTTTTAACTGCTATGATCATTTTCAGCAGCACATGGTTTTTGTCTTCATAAGTTCTCATCATTTCAAACAGCGTTTTCTCTTAATGTGCTAAAATTGTG